CAGATTCCGAGCCGAACCACCGCCAATCGTTTGCATGGGACAAGGATACTATTAGTCAATTCAAGAAGTTCCGATCACCTGAGCGGAGGGAAACCGTGCCTCAAGAAACCATTATCGCACACCTTATAGTTGAAAGGTAAACTGAAAGTAAATAAATCTATAGTCAAATCAAACTTAGTAGAAATTTGGACTTGCTCTTTGGTGCGAAAGTGCCACAGAATTATGAACAATCAGTGGCCACATCAGAAGCTGTGATTTTTTCCACTATCAGCGAGGTGAGAAAGGACCGCTGAAAGATCCTTATTCAATATTTGCCTCCTCTGTTGCCATATAGGCCCAAGTGGAGCAGAACTCCCACTACAAACAACACTGCAGACAACTCTGTTGTACTTGCATGTAGCCGTTAAAACCCTGTCAGGACACTTGGTCCTACAGTAGAGCAGGAGAACAGTGGCACACCATTCAAGAGCTTTTTGAAGGAGCAGACTCTTTGTTGGAAAAAAGGAAACCTGTGTAGAGGCAGAAGAAAGGAGTGAAGCAGAGAGGGATTGTGTGCTCTGTGTTCTACCAACAATCATGGTTGTGATATATTCTGTTGAACATTTTATTTAATTCTAGCTCACCGCCCTTGTATGAATAACAATTCCACTTCCAGGATTCCTCACTTGTTCTGGATGTCCCTTTAAGATCCCAAATACTGACATCTCCTATGTAGTTTTTCCCCCCCTGTGGTATTTTTCTGCATTCTCCATTGTGAGTACTTGTCTCAGTAACCTAGACGTTCTGGTGTGATCTGTGCCACGTGAGTTTCGCTTAAGAATGATGGATGGAAAACACACCGGAACGTCTGGGGCATTTGGTATACTGTTACCCCCCATGGTGTCACATCTTGGGCCATCACACAATTCTCAATAGCGTGTACTGAGGACCTCAGGACACTTTACTAAAATCCAAAGCAATTGGGAGTTCCTTGTATTATGCAACCAACTCAATTCCAATTTTTTGCCTGGGTGAAGAGAGCTTGAACTGGACTTGAACGGGGTGAGCAACACCAAAAGCAGGGCTGTTTCCGAACGCCCGTGGCAAGCCATATAAAATTCGGGAAAAATAGCAGGTTCCTACCCAGCCGCGGTTACTAGGTTCATATACAGAGTAGCGGGAGTTCAATTGATATCTCAGACATTGAATTGATTGGTTGTTACATTTTGACGTGTGACCAGACAACGTGATGTGATAGAGTGACCAAGAACAGGGATGAACCTCTCCACAGTGGCTAGAAGAAAATATATACCAACGACATAGCCACAATTCCTGGAAATCATAGCTAAAATCATTACTCACCTTCCTCACACTAAAATAAAATGATTGTCAGGCCCCAGTGCACTTGGAATACATCTAGAAGTGGGATAGAGGATGTATATTGCTTCTCCGCAACCTTAAATAAGAGGATTCCCACCAATAGTGATGTGTTTGGCTTGGCTTGAAGCCAAAAAGCCAAGAAGCCAAAGCCGGGCTTTGTCAAGCCAAGCCAAGCCAAAATCGTGGCTTGAGGTTGGCTTTGGCTTTTGGCTTACGGTCCAGCAAGCCAAAGCCAAGGGCCTAAGCCGTGGCTTTCACTGGAACCAAAAGACTGCTTGGGAGGGCGTCAAAAATTTCAGAGTTAATTCATTTGGTTGTCCTTCAAATCCAGCAAGGAAATTGTAACTCACCCAGAACCCACAGACTGGTTTTCAACCAACATATGGTTGAGCTTCTGGACATCAGAATTCCCTGATTTCCGCGATTGACAGATTTTCAGCGTCATTTGGAAAGCCTACCGCCTAAGTGAATAACTAGGTGTTCAATCTGTTGTATTCCTAAATGCAACCCAAGTGTGAGTGCTCCCACGCCTCCTGGATGTCCCTTACCAGCAGAAAAAAAAACTTCTCACGAAGCCGGGCTTGAGCCAAAGCCAAGCCAAGCCAAGCCCCGGTCCAGGGCTTTGGCTTTTGGCTCAACTGTGGTCCAGCCAAAGCCAGTGGCTTGTAAGCCAAAGCCCCGGCTTGCAAGCCAAGCCAAGCCAAATACATCACTACCCACCAACAACACCGTTTCGGCCAATGTTTGGTGAAACAGCCTCACAAGGGACTGATTTTGTCCTTGTAATTTTTCCTGAACTCCAATACCATGCAGATAAACCCACTGAGCACTTATAGTATTTGAGATGAGATGAGCATCGGCCCTCAACGATTTTAGCTGTGATTTCGGGAAGTTGTGGCTATGTTGTTTGTATATATTTTCTTCCAGCCGCCGTGGAGACCCTGTTCTTGGTCACTAATAACACAGTCACAAGGGCCCACGAGAATCGGTTTCGGAGTTTGATACCAAATTCGGCCCACCCCAACCTCTTGTCCGGACTCTCCCGCGTTAAGACCGTTGATGTCTTGTCCGGATTCTGTATCACACGGTCAAATTTTGGTCAAATCCTGTCCGGATTCGGGCTCAAACCTCAAAAAATTCCAAAAAAATCGCAAAAAATTTATATTGTTATGAATCTACATCGTCGCCCTCCTCGAGGTCCATTACATTCACATGCCACTGCTTTGCACTTTGAAGAGCTGTGCATGGTGTTAACAAATATAGTAATTCCACTCCGACCAAGAACCAAAGCGAAGACAATGGGTTCGGACCACGCCTATCCCATGCGAGCATTGTCCGGACTCGGTATGCAACCTTCACAAATTTTGGCCACCTTGTCCGGACTAGCGCATCAAAGTCGGTAGCCATGAGGGTCAAATTTGTCTGGATTCTGCTCAAAGGTGGGTCAAAATTTTCAAAATTTTGTCCGGATCGTTGTATCAAACTGCGAAACCGATTCCCGTGGGCCCTCAGTCACATCACCCGGTCCGATTTTTCCAGTTAGTTATTTCTCTGTATTCAATTTTGAAAAACTACTACTCTGTATATGAACCTTGTAACCGTGGCTGGGTAGGAACCTGGAAAAATAGGCTTAGGATGTTCAAAAGTCAGTTGCAGCACACATCCAGGCATAAAAGAGGCAGGATGGACCAGGAAATGGATGTGACGCTATCGGGGGTGAAGGCTGCCCAATGCCCCAGACGTTCTGGTGGCAATCCCGTCCATCATTTTTAGCTGAAACTCACGTGGCAGATCATGATGGATGGGATCGCTACTGAACGTCTGACCAAGACAGTGTGAGTACCACTACTATGTACCATCAAGATATGATATTGTATGCTGTGTGGACAAGCGTTGGGAAAGAGACATACAGTTAGATTGTGTAGATGCATTGATTTATGGTCCATGAATATCTGCTTGCACCAGACTTTGAAGTGCATTCCCACCAGCCAATACCAGGCTAATATCATGGCAGATGGTTCTCGGCTCTCTTGAACACCACTACTGCTTTGTACATCCTCAATGTCTGCATGCTCCTGCTCACCAGCCTAATGACTCTGGTCACCTCTGCAAGCCAGATGCAATCCGTCACAGTGACAACCAGCAGCACTGTTGTTTCTCTCTCCAGGACCAGGATTGTTTTTATCTCTCATACATTTTGAACTTCAGCACATTGCAATAATTCAGTCTACTTGGTATGACTGATCAGGAATGGAGTCCTTGGCAGACCCTATAAACAACATCAGGGAAATGAATACAGCTCAGCTTGCCTCAACAACTGACAACAAGCAGCATGAGATCGTGGGTTCAAACATTTAAACCTAGCAAGGTGTGAATTGTCATGTGATCATGTGAGCGAGTTGCAAGGTTGGTCAGCCCATCCAAGGGCCTGGGTTCGATTCTGGCTGGTGGTGGTACCTTAAAAGCCCTTGCAACATAGAGGGGAAGGGTAAGCCTACTGGCTTACAGCATATATAGCCCACTGCTGATCAACAATCAGTTGTTGATTATGTTGCCTTTTGGCCAAGTGGTCTGTGCATGATGGGTGCAGGCTTCCAACTTGCTGTGCAAAATAATTGATATTGTCTGGACGACAAGGGGGAAAGCTGGTAGAAACTGGCTGGATGCGCATAGTGTCCTCAAGAGTTGATAATCTGTCCATCAAGAACCCCCCTTGCCCTCCCCCACTATCACCTCCAAAAAAGGCAATTACTTACAAATAAGATCAGATACCATTATTGGTGACGAGTTAGGAGTAAGTACACACTGTGCACTACTTTCAGCCAGTTTCTCAACATAGAAATTGTTTTATTTCAGCTGCTGCATCATCAGCAATCCCTGGAGGATTATGTTAATATTTTTTTCGATTAAATACATGCTTTTTGGTCCATATTTTACGCGGGGGAGACCCCCGTGGACCCCCTTGACGCTCGCCGCTGGGCCCACTGCGTGGGGCTTCCGCTCGCCACGGGGGCCACTATGTGGAGTTTTTTTAGCTTTGATTTAATTTTTTATGATTAAATCTCAGTTTTTTTTAAATGATAACTTACGCAGGGGAGACCCCCGCAGACCCCCTTGACGCTCACCACTGGGCCCACTGCGTGGTGCTTGAGCTCGCCGTGGGGGCCCCACGCAGTCGGGCTTGCGGAAGGTGGATTAAAGAAAAAGAAAAAGAGAAAAGAAAGACGCAATAAAAGACATGAACGGGGCTCAAACACATGGCAGGTCAAACGAAAGGAGATGGACTAACCAATAGACTATAGTACCAATGATGGTTGCTCTATTTTGATTGTCTAGACCAACGCCCACGCCAACCCCCGGAACACTTACCTTATAAGGAAGGTGATAGTGGGGGAGGCGTGTGCGCGCCTCCATCAAGGAAGAATTTCTGATCCCTTGTTTCTCTCTTACAGGTGACACCTCTTGAATTTTCCAATGATGTGAGTTCGAATCTGTTGGTAGCTGAATCTTGTCATTAATTCCACCGACTTTCAACCTGGTCCACGGGTAAGAAAGCTACGCTCGCTTTCTGGATTATTTGAGAGCAAAACAAACTGCTCCTCTTGCATTTCTGGAACTACAAGATGTAGGTGTTTGCTGCTGCCCGCTTGGCCCAGTGGTAAGGCGTGTCACTCGTAGAAAGTGTGTTATGTCACATACGAAGTGTATGACAAGATCAGTTGTTCGAATCAGCTAGTGGGCATTTTATTTTGTTTTGTCTTTTCACTGGTTGAATAATTAAAAAAATTTAGTGAAAAAATCGATGCAAAACCCAGTTTCATGTTTTAAATTTTTTCACTTCTTTCTCCAGTCCCAAAATGGCTGAAAAATGAACGAGGTTTTCCAAGGTTTTTCATCTATTTTCTCACTCAAAATCTTGAATTGTTTAACCAGTGTTTTATCTCCTTTTCACATTTCTTTAACCCTATCTCTCCTGTATCCCCTGTTTTTCTGTAGTACCTCACCTAGTCTTGGACCATACTCTCATGACATCCCAATATGGGAACCCTGTCATGAGAGTCTGGGCCTCTTCCCCGACTTTAGTTGGATCATTCTCCCCAGAGCTTCATCTTCTTGCCAACCCACTGTTTCTTCCTCTTACATGGTGGGGTGGTGTTGCACCAACAGCCACATTGACAGGCTCTGCACTTGCCGTATGTGTCAACATCGGGGCCACGCAATGCTGGCAGGCCTCCACACTCAGTGGGCACATGTGGATGCACTGGTGCTGGCCAAACCTCTACCTCCCTTGCCAACCTTGTCATCTGTAAACTCTTGCTAGTACATTGTCATCATTGTCCCTTACTCATGTGGCACTCCTAGCCTTCAACTTGTCCCCACCCCCACCCTTGCCTCACCCATCCTCATCACCGACAAACAGCTGGCAGGCTTCTTCTTTTAGGCCAAAGCCTTGCTCTGCCCCTCCTGCTCCTGCTCCTGCTCCTGCTCCCTTCCCACATCCTCTGCACAGCCCTCCTTCTCATATACTCCACATCCCCTCCTGCACCCCATTCCATCTCCAAATTCCCTATTGGTTGTATACGAGTCGTAGCCACCTTCGTCACTTAGTTACTTCGGTTAAGAATGTGAAAGTTCGTCACTTTGATGGGAATGTGTGAAAGTTCATCATATTGTCTGGTTTCTGTGAAAGTTCGTCAGTTTAACTCGGCACGTTCAGAAACCCGGAACATCGGCCATCATTGTTCCTTCAGCAAGGCTGGGCGTGTTTTTTTATATAGATCCCTTGCTAACACTAACCACTAACCGCTAACCGCTAACCACTAACCGCTAACCACTAACCACTAACCCTAACCAACTAACCCAAACCACTAACCACTAACCACTAACCTCTAACCGAACCTAACCAGCCATTTCGGCAACTGATGATTCCCATCATTCCGTGATGTACCGAAGAGTTGCCGCTCGACAAGCCCGGAATACAAACTGACGAACTTTCACAGAAACCAGGCAATATGACGAACTTTCACATATTCCTATGGCGGTCTAAGTGCACTTTTAATAATCCGACACTTTTATTGCAAAATTTCAACTTTCCAACACTTTTTTTCGCTGGTTCCGACACTTTTATAGGAATTTGTACTCGTAAAAGTAAGTGTCGGAAAAGGTCAGTTTCACGACACATTTATTGACCGGTTTAGACTTGCGACACTTTTATTGAACAGTCAAGACTTCCGACACTTTTATTGGGGTCAATTTTTTTTATCCTCGGATATAGGTCCTAGGTAGTATGTGAGATAGTTCTGACTTGAGAAAGCTATGTAGAGTCCATGGAAGTACAGATACGGCCTTGTAAAGAGCAATCGGCACCAGACTGCCAATCAAGCACCGGATCAAGACCATGACAGCCTTCCCACGCTCCTCACACCTGATGCTTCCATACTCAAACTTGGCACCAGTACAGGTGAGGAGGTTGGAAACAAGGTCAATGACATCTATTCCTATTCTACTGCCCCATAACTCAAAAAATAGGTCCCAAAAAATTTGAACCAACTGAGCTAAGGAGTGTGGGAAGGCTGTCATTGATCCGGTGCTTGACAGGCCAACCGAGTCTGGTACTGATTGCTCTTTACAAGGCCGTATCTGTGCTTGCATGGACTCTACATAGCTTTCTCAAGTCAGAACTATCTCACATACTACCTAGGACCTATATCCGAGGATAAAAAAATTGACCCCAATAAAAGTGTCGGAAGTCTTGACTGTGCAATAAAAGTGTCGGAAGTCTGAACCGGTCAATAAATGTGTCGCGAAACTGACCTTTTCCGACACTTACTTTTACGAGTACAAATTCCTATAAAAGTGTCGGAACCAGCGAAAAAAAGTGTTGGAAAGTTGAAATTTTGCAATAAAAGTGTCGGATTATTAAAAGTGCACTTAGACCGCCATATATTCCCATCAAAGTCATGAACTTTCACATTCCTAAGCGAAGTAACTAAGTGACGAAGATGGTTTGGACTCGTTGTATACCCATACTGCAACTACATACCCAGCATACTATTTCCCAAGCTTGCATCCATAATCATTCAATAGGGTTGCTCACAGTTCACCTTTTTCTGTCCCTTTTTGTCTTCCTTCTTCCATTCCTTTTTCTACTCCTTCTCCTTCTTCCAAATATATGCATGAAAAACCTTCTAGTGCTCAAAATCTAGTCCCACAGGCTTCCTGGGTGTAGATGTTCAAAGTCATTAGTAGACCTGTTGTGCAAGCTACAGTGTCCTATGAGGGAAAAAGGAGACAAAAAAGGGATGAAAAAGGGAGTTATGACAGGGGGTTTCACAGAAGCCCTTTTTTTCTTCCCTTTTTCTGTGGTTTTCAATGGTTTGTGCACTTAGACACAATATTTTCCCCCATTCACTCCTTTTTACTTAGATAGCTAAACTGAAAAGGGAAAAAAAAACCAGCTGAAAAATGATGGGAATGTGAAAAAGAGTGAAAAAAGTGAGTGCTACTGTGAACGACCCAATGAATTATTTGGATTACATTTTATTCGACTTTGGTCCAACTTGTCTTTTCTTGTGTGCGATCGTGCCGACTTCTGCTGGGACACTTGCCGAAATACGAGCTGCCATCAAATTCCCAAATTCGGAGGTCATGTTGAGGTGGAATTCAGACAACTCAGATACATACCCTCGTGATGGGTGACTGTCAAATTGAATGTAAAAGTAGTGGCCATATGAAAAAGAAGAGGGAGGCTGTAAATTCATATCTATTCAAATTTAAGCTCCGATCGAGCCACTAGTACTGGATGCATGAATTGCATGCTCTTTGCCAATGCGGCCTGCACCAAAAACTGCATTGGAGGATTCACCGGCAGCAGAGTTTTATATGACCAGTGGAACACCTTATTTAGGTTTGGCCCTATTGAAAAATTCCCGGATATTCGGTGTCGGTCAAAGCGAGGGTTTGTGATCTGTATCACGTGCTCGCTACTTCAATTCGGTGTTGTGGTTGGTGAAATCGATTAACATATTTCAGTGCCCACTAGTCGAACTTATCTTGGCCCTAAACGTTTTGTCCGAGGGTTTCCAGCATCGAAAAACATGACCCCTTTTAGAACACGCCGTTCCACCTGTCCAAGCTGCTATGGCAAGCAAAGTGATGGCTAAGACCCTCCGCCCCCGGCTAGAATCCCCTACCAGTGACTAATTGTAATTGGTATACCTGGGATCGAACACAAGACCAAATGACGTTTGGGGCTGAGAGTTCCCGGCGACCAGTACTAAGCACTGTCACGCGCAGCGTCCCTTGTTCTCACCACTAAGCTAGCTGGTCAGTGTCAGGGCCAATCAAGGAAAACAATGTCGTCTACAGTGTTGGAATGTCCATTTGCAACGAAATTGGCAGTAAAATGAAGCAAACCAGTTGATGGTGTAAATAATACATGTGTCTTATCGACTGTTCGTTCCTTCCACCATGCAAATACAGCGATAAGTTAGGGGGGTTAATTTAGTTTTTGTTACGCGCGGTAGTCTCCTTGGGCGGAATTTTAAAGCGTAAACGCTCTTTGGAACTCCACTCGAAGACCGGTAGCGGGTGCGCCTCGGTGTTAAACACCCACTTGTCTAATGGTATTATATCCTGGTCCACAAACATCAGGTAGAGATATTTTAATCTGCGGAAGTATTAGCGAGAGCGTATGGAGCTGCGATGATGAACAAACGTTTCCGCCAGGAAGAAACTACAAATACGATCAGACTCGGGAAGAAGGATACAAGAGTGACGGACCTGGGCATCTCGTCTAAATGTTTAACGGGCGTCGAGTCCACGGTGGCGACACTGGCATAACCACGGTCCATACGCGCGTGTTTCTCGATCGCCTCAAATACCGCCCTGGAAAGAACATGAACGGGTTCCTTGTCGAATAACAAAATCGGCACGCACCACCCACGGTCCCGCCACACCTCGTCCCCCGTCGTCCGCCATAGAATGTAGAAACTCTCTATCGCCTAGAAAACACCAATCAGCACTTCTCAGTCTGATCAACCACTCGACAGACCTCTGGCCGAAGCAGATACGTGGTTTTGTCCGCTCGATAATCCCGCGTCGCCGGCGTGTGCTCGGGATTTGAAGGTCCCAAACCAGGGGGCACGCCGCTGGGCCTGCCGTTGGCTTCCCATTCTGCGAGCAGCGTCGTCCACTTGCCCTTGGAGTAAGGCGACGAGCGCGTCATGGTCATCTCGTCCGGCCCGAGGCCGCTGGCTTGGTCTGCATAGGTGAGCCAGCACGTTGTCGCGATGCCTTCTGCGGCCCAACTATGGAGCTCCTTTGTGTGCGCGGGAAGATCGAGCGTGTGGACCCCGAGCGCGAGCATTCCTGGAAGAAAACACGACAGGTGCTCGAACTTGAAGGAGGGAGAGCCATTGTTGGCGTCGGTGACATATAGCATGTTGCGATTGGGGGTGACATATAACAGCGTGTCAATTATCGACTCAGCGGCTCTTAGGTCTAAACCCGATTAGAAGAGAGGAACTGTGGACCTGTGGAAACGTACATAGAGCTTTGGTCTTGGGCTCTGATTCGGCTGTAAGAAGCCATTGCTTGAGCAGGTATTCATGAGCGCTGTCGGCGTAGGCTCCAACAGAAAATTGATCTACACGCAATCAGCCCCTGCATGACAAGACCACGAGACTCAATTACTATTCGAAGGTTTCCCCGTTTTGGCGTCCCACTGAGTGGGGAACTGGC